GCCCCAGCCACATTTTGACAAACCTTGTTAACCATCTCATTTGAAGCAAACCGCCAATTATCACATTCTACAAGGGCCTTCAAGCAAAGAGCAGACCCTGAAGTTAGGCTTTCTTGAGATCCTAGGAGAGAATCTGAAAGAGGCTTGCAGAGAGAATGAATTATGTGCCTCCTCTTATCTTCTGGTGTGGTTGGATCAATTCCGTATCTTGCAATTGCAGGGACCACCTTTGAGGATGCCTATTGAAGAGGAAAAGAATCTGCGCTTGAAGCTAGTGTCTTGATAATGGTTGACATAATGATGCCAATCTGAGGAACAATCTTCACACCATGCAAACGGGCAAGAACCTCATAAAGTGAAATGGTGTATTCCCCAGATACGGATCCAGTTTCTTTGGTCTCAGATACTTGTGCAAGGAAGATTGGTATTGCTGCTGAATCTAGGTCTCTCACATATGATTTAAGAGCTCTCATTGCTGATTTACAACTATTAGCATCCTTGTCAAGATTTTCCAGCTCTCGCTGAAGTATTGGACTAAGATTTCTACCCATCTTTCACCTGAAACCACTCAAACAAGATAAGCCATTCAGCTTAGTTAAAACTGAAATCATGGAAGCCTTTCATAAATCTAAGAATGGAGCACAAACGGTACACCTTTAGTAATTTTCCAAAAGATGCTAGCCTTGTTTTCTCTACAAAGGACCATTTTTGGGAATTAAATAAATTTATTTTGAATTTAAGAAAAATGAACCTAAAATCTTGCTTAAAATCTTAGTTGATAGATGAAGTAATTTACTCTTCAATTGAGTGTCATCACATGAGGAAAGCATGCACATACTAGCTCAAGAGCCTTAATTCTTGAAAGAAAAATCTAAGAGAATAAAGCTTGAAATGTTCTTAGATAGAGGGTTGTTCATTCAAACTTCTTTAGATTCAATAGCCTTCAACATCTCTTGCCATTCACAAAGGGGGAAAGTGTGCAAAGCAGTGTTTCATGTAGACTCCATGCATGTAATCATACATGCAACTAGTTTCTGTTTTCTTTGCATCTAGGTTACTCAAAATGGGTACCCAAGTTAGCCAACATCTCCCACTTACAAACGATGTGTTTGACCCTCTCTTGTAGAATAGTCAGTGGCTTTATAAAGTGTTTCACATCCATTCTCTTAGTCAGATGAATTTTCAAAGCATACGAAAAAGTGGTTGTGCGACTGAAAGGCATCATACTAATCTTTCAAGGAGCTTGATACTATGTCTACCAACCATCTTAGTTATGTGATAATTATATACTTGTATCGTAAATTCATTTTTATAAGAACAATCACGTAACCCCTCAAGGCTATGTTTAACCATCTCTACTCTATCATGTATTTACAAATTACAATCAAGTTATTTTTTAAAGATTACATAATTGTGGGTTGATGATACATGTTTAAAATTTTAACATAATGTTATATCCTTTCCAATGCATGACCCATCCATTCTAATTCAACACGGTTTCCAATTGCATCCCATAGGCTAAATTATTGTAGTCTTACAGAATACGTTAAAGTAGCAACATTGATCCATTGCTTCATAAAATAGTTGAAAGCAATGTTGCAAAAAGCGCAAGGCAATGAGGGGCACTGGACCACTGTGTAGGCGTTTCTCTTTAAAAAAAAGAAAAAATGCCAACGTTTGTCAAAAAAATCCAAAAAATAAATGAAAGGCCTAGCTCTACTACCTAGGGCCTAAGCAAACTGGCCAAGAATCGCCTAGTGCCTTGCATGCTTTTTTGAACACTAGCTGAAAGTCAGTAGGGATATCGTTAAGGGCACTAATTTATTAGTTAATGGCCTCCCGCCTCCAAGGAATCACATAGTGAGGATGCAAGAATTAATTCTCTTCCCGTATTGGTCAATTAGCACCACCCATGATACATGTGCTACAATGTTTTTCTCCTTAGAAGCACAAGTCTTTTCTACCTTTTATATCACAAAATATTCAACATATTCCTATTCAAACCCCTCTTTGGTGTTTAACCTAAGTCTCCTAACATGAGCACACTAGGGCTCAAATTCAAATTTTTCCTAGCCAACATAACCAAGGGGAGATCATGTGCAATCTACTCCACATGTCATTCATGTATCTCATAGATGTACCGTGGGGAGAAAATGTGCAATCTAGTCTACATGTCATACATGTATCTCATAGGCATTATCTTGATCACCATCAAGGGGACATTGGGCAGTCATTGATTTCTCTTGCACATAATAATCTTACTGCACAGCATTTTCAAAATGCTTTACACAATTGTCATGTGATGGTGAGAGAGAAATGCAACAAACACTTTATGAAGCAGTTGCTATTTTTAGCAAGAGAGCCAAACTCAT